AATTGGTGCGTACATACGGTAACCCCAAATGTCGTGTCAGCATTCATCAGGGAACTCTAAAAGTTTGACAAATTGATACTAAGCAAACCTCATCTAAAGGGACTCAGTCTTAAGGACCCCATCTCAAGGTGCCAATCCTAGGCTTTATCCTCAGAACGCGATCCTCAAGACCTATTTGGAGGACTCAATTTCAGGACCCATTTTTGGTGCCAATCTTAAGGATACTATCTGAGGGTCCCAATCTCAGGGCTCATCTTCAAGACCCGATCTCAGGAGCCAACTTCGGGGGCCAATCTCAAGGACCCCATCTGAAGGTCCCAATTTCAGAGCTCGTCATAAGGACCCCATCAGACGCCGTACCTGAATAACTAATCGCAAGCATGGGATAACTTGGACATAGAACCATCTACATCTCTGGAAAAGCGAAGTGCAATTGCCGAACAACTATCCGGTAGCAAAAGCGCAACTGCAATCATTACAGAGACAGATCAAAAAGGACCCTGAAACCATGCAACTTAATGAGAAATAGCTTACTGTTGACCTGGAAAATAACTACGTCAATTCTGTTACTTTTCTGTACCCACAGCCGGTATTAATTTGGTACCTCCCACACCACACTGTGAGTAATCCAAACAAGCCCGGAAGGTACGCAGAGTGGCCAAAAAAGGCGTCTCGTTGAACTCTTGCATTGAGACTGGAACCGATCTCCTGAACTTAATTTTGGCTTTCTACTACAATTCCGGCAAAAAACCTGTGGCCGTATCGGCGGAAATTGAAGGTATGTTTATGCAAATAGGTATTGAAGATGAGGATCAAAATGCGCTTCGCTTCCTTTGGCCTACAAAAATGGTACCAAGCAATACCAAAACACGCGATATATCTTCGTTGCAAAATGCTCACCATCCCTTACCATCTTTGCGCTTCATCAAACAGCTACCGATTACTGCGTAAACAATCCTAATATTGCTCAACTGCTTCATGAAAGCTTTAACATGGACGACTTTGCTCACTCGTTTGACACCACTAACGAGGCTAGAGACTCTTCTATACTACTAATAATGTCCCTACGGCAGGGAAAATTCAACCCAGCTAAGTTCGTATCTAACACTCAGGACATCATCTACTCCATTGATGGAGGTGAAAATGCTAGTGCAACGGGTCCTGGGCGTCAAATGGGACACAACTGACTATAGGATATTCGCGCAACCAACAACCAAGGTAACTTATACTACAACGCCTACACTGGAACAGTCCTCTCTACAGTAGCAAGTGTTTTCGACCCACTAGGTATCCAAGCGCCCTTTGTCGTAAAACTTAAAGCTCTTCTACAAGACCTGTGGATGTCTGGTGCTTCATGGGACGAACCTGTGCCCAGTGACTTCGTACCGATAATTGACCAATGGGTCGACCAATGCAACCAAGCCACCCCCTGTTAGGCTGCCGCGCTTAGTTGGACCACAACTGTCACTTAATGATATACAGCTTCGTGTTTTCTGCGACGCGTCGTAACACGCATTGGCTACTTTTATCTACTTCAGAACTGCAGGCAGCTCTGGCATACACGCTACTTTTTTTGGCTGGCAGAACAAAGGTAGCACCACTGAACCAAGTAGGCATTCCAAAACTGTAGTTACAGGCCGCCCTTATCAGAGCACGGCTGTGCAAGTTCTCTACTGATGAAATGCGAATGAAACCCAAGTACACTCTTTTTTAGGCTGATAGCACCACTGTTTTATCTGGATTGCATCGCCTGGTCAACTGAAAACTTACTGCGCAAACAGAGTTGTTAAAACATTTACTTTATGCAAAGCCGAACAATATTAACACATCCCCGGTAAACTCAATCCAGCAGAAAGCCCTACACGGAGAATTGAACTTAAAGACATACCGAATTCTGGTTGGATGCACCAGAGTTTCTACTCAACAATGAGCCTACTTGGGGGATCAACGAGACAACGGAACAAAGAAACGCTATATCAGTTAGCCCACAATTACTCCGCTAATCGGTTCTTCCCGGTTTTCAGACTGGTTTCGATTAGTTCGGGTCACCGCTCGGGTTATAGTTCTTGGCGATACTTTAAAGGGAAACGGGAAGCGTTCGACTAGTATAGAAAACTTAAAACGCTTCTACAAGACCTGTGGATGTCTGGTGCTTCCTGGGACGAACCTTTGCCCAGTGACTTTGTTCCGATAATTGACCAATGGATCGACCAATGCAAACAAGCCACCCCCTGTGAGGCTGCCGAGCTTAGTTGGACCACAACTCTCACTTAATGATATACAGCTTCGTGTTTTCTGCGACGCGTCGGAACACGCATTGGCTACATTTATCTACTTCAGAACTGCAGGCAGCTGTGACATACACGCTACTTTTTTTTGATTGGCAGAGCAAAGGTAGCACCACTGAATCAAGTAGGCATTCCAAAAGTGTAATTAAAGGCCGCCCTTATGGGCGCACGGCCGTGCGAGTTCTCTACTGATGAAATGCGAATGAAATCCCACTACACTCTTTTTTGGACAGATAGCACCACTGTTTTATCTGGATTGCATCGCCTGGTCAACTGAAAACTTACTGCGCAAACAGAGTTGTTAAAACATTTATTTTATGCAAAGCCGAACAATGTTAACACATCCCCGGTAAACTCAACCCAGTAGAAAGCCCTACACGGAGAATTGCACTTAAACACAAACCGAATTCTGGTTGGATGCACCAGAGTTTCTACTCAACAATGAGCCTACTTGGGGGATAAACGAGACAACGGAATTAAGAAACGCTATATCAGTTAGCCCACAATTACTCCGCTAATCGGTTCTTCCCGGTTTTCAGACTGGTTTCATTTAGTTCGGGTCACCGCTCGGGTTATAGTTCTTGGCGATACTTTAAAGGGAAACGGGAAGCGTTCGACTAGTATAGAAAACTTAAAACGCTTCTACAAGACCTGTGGATGTCTGGTGCTTCCTGGGACGAACCTTTGCCCAGTGACTTTGTTCCGATAATTGACCAATGGGTCGACCAATGCAAACAAGCCACCCCCTGTGAGGCTGCCGAGCTTAGTTGGACCACAACTGTCACTTAATGATATACAGCTTCGTGTTTTCTGCGACGCGTCGGAACACGCATTGGCTACATTTATCTACTTCAGGACTGCAGGCAGCTGTGACATACACGCTACTTTTTTTTGATTGGCAGAGCAAAGGTAGCACCACTGAATCAAGTAGGCATTCCAAAAGTGTAATTAAAGGCCGCCCTTATGGGCGCACGGCCGTGCGAGTTCTCTACTGATGAAATGCGAATGAAATCCCACTACACTCTTTTTTGGACAGATAGCACCACTGTTTTATCTGGGTTGCATCGCCTGGTCAACTGAAAACTTACTGCGCAAACAGTTGTTAAAACATTTTTTTTATGCAAAGCCGAACAATGTTAACACATCCCCGGTAAACTCAACCCAGTAGAAAGCCCTACACGGAGAATTGCACTTAAACACAAACCGAATTCTGGTTGGATGCACCAGAGTTTCTACTCAACAATGAGCCTACTTGGGGGATAAACGAGACAACGGAATTAAGAAACGCTACATCAGTTAGCACACAATTACTCCGCTAATCGGCTCTTCCCGGTTTTCAGACTGGTTTCGATTAGTTCGGGTCACCGCTCGGGTTATAGTTCTTGGCGATACTTTAAAGGGAAACAGAAAACGTTCAACTACTAAAGAAGACCTTGAAAAAGCCAAGCTACTCCTTTATCAACTATCCCAACAAGAAACTTTTCTTGATACCTACAGTCAATTACGAACCAAGCAGCTAGTTGACAACTAAAACGGTTCTCTTCTTTTCTCGACAATGGTTTTATTCGCGCGCGAGGACGACAACGGAACTCTCCTTTACTGGACGCAACAAAGCATCCAATAATCTTGAACGCAAAGGAACCAATTGTGCGCATGATGATAGAGAGCACTCATTGCCGCTGCATCGCAACAAAGGATACAACTGAAAAAAAGCTGTATTTGCCTCTAACATGCCTCTCTACTCGCGCAGTTTACCTGGAAACGACAGAAAATCTTACTACAAAGAACTGCATAACTGCAATTAGACGCTTCATTGGTAGGAGAGGCACACCTAAGTTTTTCAGCTCTGACAACGCTACTTACTTCATCGTCGCCCGTAAGCAACTATGCTCAGAACCAATTAACTACAATGCAACCACCCTAGTTGAAACGCTACAAATCCACTATGTCGAATGGCGCCTAAATCCTCCGGCAGCCCCCCACTTTGGCGGCGTGTGGGAGGGACTTGTTTCAATAATAAAACGAGCGTTCTTACTAAATATCGGTTCTGATCTACTATCAAGAGATCTTTTTGCTACTATCGTAGCCCTGACTGAAGCAATCTTCAACTCACGTCCGCTAACGCATGTCAAGAGTGAGCTTGACGACGACCTTCCTATGCCGAGAGCAGCGGTGAAACTTGCCCTCATATCTCCAAAGAAGGAGATTCGAGATCACTTTAATTGTGTTACCACAAAAAAGCTGGGCACTACCCTTTCTTCTTCGGTTCTAAATAAGACCTACCTCTCCCCGAGGAAATTCATAACATGAATTTGTCTCGCAGTAATTCTTGCAACGTGCGTTAAAATCATTTAATAATGTCATGATTTGTTGCAAACTATTTAGTAATATTCTTGATTCTGTGAACAACTTGCTCGCTTCCACTATTTTTTTCTACTGTTTGCTTGCGGTCATCGACTATTTTCCAATTGTCTGTCTGTCGGCTCTGCTTATGTTCTTCTTATAGGGGAAGTTTTCAAAACAGTTAAGTCATTATTTTTTTTCTATTTACGTGCGTCCATCGACTCTTATCCAATTGTTTGTCTGTTGGTTTTGCTTATGTTTTGCTTATAGGGGACATTTTCAATACAAATAAGTCAGTTTTTTTTTTCTGTTTACTTGCGTCCATTGACAATTTTCCAATTGTTTGTTGGCTATATTTGTTTATTGAAGGTGATGTACATACCAGTTCCCTGTCCTAACAACGGAGAAACACCAGTAGCCCCTTCAAGTGCAATGCCTCCTATAATTACTCAGAACATCCCGCCCTTTCTCAGCCAGTCAACGGTGCAATTGACGCCAGATCAACAACCCAATACACAGCCAAACATCTCCGCAAAATGTCAGCCGGTGAAAGTTCCTACAATCAAAAGTAAAAAGACAACTTGCACGAAAGCGCAACAAAAGAAGTTGGGGATCCAATTGAAACAGAGTATGAATATAGCAGTTTCAAAACATAATCAGGTAAAACTGAAACCTTACTCTTCGTAAAAGTTTTTATCTTGCATTTGGATGTTTTGGATGAACCGTACAATCTGCCCCCCTCCCGGCTTAGATACTGAATGCTTATTTTATCCTATTAATAGCGTATAATTTAGATCATAATGGTATCGATTGGTTTTTTGGAACAACCGTACAAACCCCCCCCCCCCCCTCTCCTTAACTGACCTACCATAGAGTACCCTCCCCAAGCATGTATTAATTCTGAATAATAATTTTGTATAAAGTACGCTTTTCGCACAAATGCGCAAATAAAATTGGTTTTTACATTTTTTACGCGGAATTGCCTTTGTATGCTGTAAGTTACCAAATTATTGATTTAATTCAATTTTCTTCAAAAAAAAGTTTTCTTCTGTAATACAGTTAATTTTGAGCTAATCTAGCCTATACTCAAAGTTAGCTTATGAAAAATCCATATTTTCTCCCCTCTAATTCGATTTTTGGGCGGGGGGGGGTTTGACGGTTGATCCGATTTTTTTTTTAATAAATTGATAATTGTTCCGACTTTCGATACGAAAGTAACGGAATATTTGTGCTCGGGTGGGTTTTTTTTCTTCAGACAAATTTCGGCTTTTTAACTAGCCATTTTGACGGAATTTTTTAATATCATTCAAAAGGTATTGTTGTCCTGAGCTTAAATTTAAAAAGATTTTTCACCTGTGATCATTTTTCGTAAAGTTATGAGGGTTTAAAGATTGCCATTTTGGCCAGTTTGACCAATTTGGGACAAATAACGCGCGATATAATTCGCGCTATTAATCCGTAAGCGGAGATTTAATCCGTTTATAAATCGTTTCAAATTTGTTGAACGAAGCTGTTTTGCCATAATTGATTTGTTAGAAGGAACGAAATCTATCTTTTTGTACTTTATGTGGCGTGTGGGGGGATGGTTTTCAATAAAATTTTAGAGAAAAAAATTTCATTTTATTTTATTTCATTTAATTTTTTTAATGTTATTACTGCTGCTCCATAAACCTTAAAAGGCAGTCGGAACATTCAGGGCTTCACCCTGATACGAGCAGTCTTGTTTTTATTTTGCGCTCGAGGTCAATTTCTGAAAAACCGGTATTTCCCCCCCCCTAAATCGATTTTTCAAAAATCAGCTGGGACTGAGTGGATAGGTTATGTTACGAATACTGAATCCGTTATAATCAAAAGCATGATTTTTCATGAAACTAGCGGCGTCAGAGCGAAAGTGGGATTTGTTTTTAGAAAAAGTGCTCTGGAATTTATTTTAAATTTTGAACCGCTGCAGAGTGGAATGTTTATTATTTAATGAGTCTCTGATAACTATTCTTCTTATTAAGGGTCAGTTGGGAACTACTAATTTTATCCAACCAAACAGTTACATCCAATCAAGTGTATGCAGCATTGAACAATCATCTGTCAACAGTAGAAATTGCCCCGTTGTCATAGCGGGAAGCAATGCTGCGAAATCACAAGTCATAGAATTTGCCTCTAGCAGTTCTTCTTTACCAGCTGATAATTCCAATTCTTCCGATCAGCCGATCAAAGTGCAAATAATGTCCCAAAGCAATCAACAACCAACCAGAATTATTCAACAGCATCATCAAAGTATTTCTTCGAGGAGTGCGAATGGAATGGATCCAAAATTAGCCAATGGGTCAATGGTGAATAGTCAACCCGTACATGTCTCGACAAGTGGTCAAAACGGGATACGATTGGCTCCTCATCAAGTGTCCGCTTCCAATCAAACTATGCAAAAGCTAAACATCATAGCTAGTTCGATTCAACCGCAGTCGAAGGGATACCAACAGACATCAAGGTGTCAAGACCAGCAGCCCATGATTACCTTCCAAATTGTGCAAAACTCTAAAACTGGAACTATTGAGTTCATTCCAGTGGGGCCATCAAATGGGAAAACGCAGATTCAAATCATTCCCAAACCTGCTCAAATTCAACAACATGCGATCAGAGTGACAACTGAGGCTGCAGAAACGCCGAAGCCTTTCGTCACTGGTTTGAATAATCATGTAGAAGGTACAGCGATGAAGTCAATAGCAATGAAAGTTCAAGATGCATCCTTGGTGCAATCATCTCCAAAATCTATGTCAAAAAAGAAGTCAGGTAAATGATACTGATTTCATCTTGCTTTTCACTGGTGTACTTGTAATGGGGAACAAACATTTCCCCTGAGTAACTTGAGTTGCAAATCTAAGAAACTGTCATTGTTTACACTCGCGAAAGCAATTGTCTTGCAAGCGGGAACCAGACTTGTTTGCAGTAAACAACTTTTCTTGCTTACTTCTTCAAATTGTGCAGATGCTTTTTAGTGAACCGTAGCAACTTCGAGAACTTTCTCCCACTTGGCTCAGAGGTGAAGCAGATGCTTTCGTACCTTGAGGTCTCGGGTATGAATCCGGGCCGGACCTAGATTTTTCCTTATGAATGAAATTGAGTTTTTTTCGGGGAAAAATTGAATTGTCGGACTTGTTTTGTCGGCGTAGTTGCCACATCGGGGATTTTGTTTTTGTGCTGTCAGTAATTTTCTTCGTAGATGCAAGAGTTTTCAGCTTACTCCTGTCAATCGTAAAATTAATACCCCTTAGCATGTTTTCTTTGGTTTTCCTTTTTTTCGCGTAAAAGCTTCATTCGGCCTCGATGGTTTCGGCTTATTTTCTTATCGACTTATTAACCATTTTTTGTGTCGCTTCGAAAAGCAGTAATGATTGATTGTTTTAAAAACCAGGTCGTGTCTATTGCAAGGTTTCAAAATTTTGAATGTTGATTGCTCAAATTTTTTCTATGACAACAATTTCTTAAGGCATTTTTTTGGTTTTTGTATCAATTGGCGTCTACCAACTTGTTCTCGGCTTAGATAACGCTTGCTAAATACTTGCAGTGATGCGCTTGCGTTGCGCCTCTGTGTTATTAGGGAACCTTTACGCCTATCAGGTCCCATCTCTGTTCGTCCAGAGGTAACGCGCGGACAAACAGAGAAACATATGGTCTTGATTTTGAGTCCTGGCCGGATCTCGTTTTCCCGCGATTAAATTTGAAATAGCAAAAAATGAAATTGAATTTTTAAAGAATTTTCGGACTATCGTTTGTCTACTTAATTTTTTTTGGCTTATTTTAAAACTTAGCAGAACAAGTCTTCTAATTGATAACCAGACTTTTTCCCAGTAAGAAATTTTCTAAAAAAATCTGTAAGAAATTGAACTTAATCGATTATTGAAACCTGGTTGCTCTTAGGCTCCTTCCCACTTGGTCTCGAGTTAACGCGGATGCCTTTGAGCGCAGGTCTGTGAGTGAGTCCCGGTCAAACCTTGTTTTTTTCGGTAGGAATGAAATGGTTTTTCCCGGAAAAACGAAATTGCGGGATTTTCGTTTGTCGGCTCAATTTGCAAAGCATGGATTTTTTATGCTGTAGCAAATTTTTCATTTGTGAAAAGTTATTTATTTTGAAAAGTTTTTAATTTAAATTTTTCCGGTTAAAGGGTTTCGGCTTGTTTTATCAGCTTTGTTTGATTTTTTGTTTCGCGTAATATGCAAAAGTTTTTTTTGTTTTGTTTCTGCAATTAATTCAAGTCGGTTATGGTGTAAAAACTTGAAAAAGCTTTTTATGACTACAATTCCTGATGGCATTTTTTGTTCGTCAATGGATATGAGATATCATATTGTCGGCTAAGCTTGTTAAGCTGTTTTAGCTCTTTTGAATGCTGGTTGTATGTTTGTTGTCGGTTTTTCTGAAATTGCGTTTTTCATGATTCCAAAAACAAAATCATTTTTTTTTTGAATTTTTTTTTTCAATTATTTCATTATTTCCGTCTCAGTTTCTAATCGGTAGCTTGTAATTATACGCTTGCGCTATTCCGCTTTGCCCAATTTTGTTCTGATTTAAGTTTTGATAACTATAGTTGGGTCATTTTGTAATTGGTAAGCTTAATAACTCTGGTTTTATTTAATCACGTGTTTTTTTTCTTTCGTTTTTGCTTAGAACGATTCGGCCTATGCTGTATAGTCCTATTTTCCTCATTTTGCGTCATTCGAAGGGAAAATGAATTGGGATGTATTTGTTTCAGGAGGGGTGGTGCGTAAAACAATATTTAATAGCTCAAAATCTTCTCGGTTTAATTGGCAGATTTTTTTTCGGTTTAATTGGCATCTACTCACAATGTTATGTTTGTGTTGTGTCGCAGTGTTGTGAAGCTCGGCTTCGCATTTGTGTTCAAAGTGAAAAGCATTGTTTGCAATTTTGAGAGTGAGCAAAACCAGAATCGCCCAGATTTTTATGCCTAGAAATGACCGAACAAAATGACTAAGTTTTGTTTTTCAGTTACTGATTCTTGCCAATTGCACAGCAACCTGCTATCCTTGATTGTATCTTGCCTTTAATGTAGACTCCAACCGGTAGTTTCTTGTTTTTTTAAAACAGCAAAGTCCAACGCCGCTCTTCAGTTTCCTCGGAAGAGAGGAAGACCTCGCAACCAGCCGAGCAACGAGAGCAAAGATGCAGTGGACAAGATATCAGCAGCCTTGAAGTCCATAGGAGCAACCGTGTGTCCCGTAGGATCGCTTGGATCTACGCATTTGGTGCCAAAGTTATGTCCAGGCGCTGAACTTCCCCCGGGAAATTCTTCAACAATGAGTATTCAATCTCCGTGCAGTAGCAGTCAAATGACACTTCATGACTCTGAGCTGTCAAATTTTTCAAACGGGTGTGTGGACTTGAGTTACTGATAAAAACCAATCTTTTGAGACTTTAGCATTATTTTTAAAAGCAATTTTTTTTTAGAAGTATGAAATTTTTGAGGCGTTTTTTTTATGGTTCTATATAAAGCAGTTCTATCAAGTGTCCTGCACGAAGAAACAATTTTATGCAGTGTGAAGAAAATCTGTTCAAGAGTAATGAACGTAGTGAAGTTTCTTATATAGGTCTTGCTGATTTTTTTTTGTTAGTTTTTTGTTCAGGAAAAAGTCTTAAAAGATTGCTGCACTTAGGTACAACGCTCTTTTTGAGTTCAATTGAAATTCATCTGCTGAAAATGACGTAAATAGCACTTTCCAAACAAATATGAACATGGAAATGGCGCAAAAAAACGTGATCCATATCAAGTTTCGAAAGTAAAATTTAGTTTTAAGATTTCCAGGGGAATGAAAACTTTACCTGTTGATCCAGTGTTCTCAAATTGGGTTAATGTTATCAAAAAAGAGCCGGTCATAAATCGTCTTAGAATTTCAAAGAGCTTGCAGGGCATCTATTTTTTCTTTGAAAATCGATAGTTGCGATTTTTTCAGCAAAGTCAGTGTATTTTTTATGTTTACTTGCGTTCATTACTCTTAATTTTCAATCTTTGATTGGTTATGTTCTGGTTTTTTAAGAGGAGTGATTTTTTACTCATCTTGTTCGTGTGGCTTTCGTCGTTTTTTTGAGAAAAAATTTTCAAGTTTCATTTGCGGTTTGGTTTGACTTGGATTTTCTTTTGTGTTCAATTCAAGCTCATTTGCTAGAAAGAAGGTAATTTACGCTCTCCAATAACGGAAGTGCAAATGATGAAATAAAGGTTTTTTCTTTTGACCCAATTTCGACGTGATCTGTTTATCGTGACTTATTGAAGACAGAGCTTTGTCCTCATCTATAATTCTCCAAATTTGGTAGAAGAGAAAATATTTTCAGAAAAATTGAGTTCATTGTCAATTTTCCAATTCTATGTTAGCTTTTTAGTGATTGTATGTCGTAATATAGGGTCGAAGTGCTTTTTTGTTCCTTGGTTTAATAATTTATTGCACTTGCGGAAGCGGTTGACTTGTAATCGGCAACTATAATTTTTTTTCTTTATATTTAAAAGAAATTTTGAAGAAGCGTTGTTAGTGATTTTCATTGAATTCGAGGTTGCTTCCCTGTATTTTCGAGGTAGCGCTGTTGTTTTTGTAACCTAAGATCTGGGTTTCGAGTCCCGGCAGGAACTTATTTTTTCAACGTGTATAAAATTGAAGAAAAAACTTGGTGGGAAAAATTGATGAAATTCCGGGTTTTCAATTAGCTGCTTATTTTTGTCGGCTTAGTTGCCATACTTGGGAGTTTTTACTGTTTTGTCCGCTGTTTTCATCGTAGATGCGATTGTTTTGATTTAATCCTGCATTTTGTAGAAATTAATTGTATTGATGTTGTGTTTTCCTGGGTTTTCCTTTTCAATTTTTTCGCCCAAAATCTTTGCTCGGCCTAAGCGGTTTCTGCTTTATTCCGTAATTTTTATCGCTCTATATCAGCTTAATTCCGTAAATTTTTGTTGCTTCATGCGCAAAAGTTCCGTAAATTTTATCGCTCTATATCAGCTCAAATCCGTAAATTTTTGTTGCTTCAAGCGCAAAAATTGACTGATTGTTTTTTTAGAAGTGAAATTAGCTTCTGTTACATGATTTCAAAGTTTAAAAATTTGTAGTTTTTTGGTGATTTTGTTAATTGACTGTTTTTCTGTAATTTTTCTGAAATTCAGTATCTTTACGTTGAAATGAATGCAAACTCCACTAACTCAGAACGAAAGTAGTGTAATGGTCACGAAAAACGTGACCAACTTCTAGTTTCGAAAGTGGGATATAGTTTTGAGATTTCCCAGCAAAATAAAAATTTTACCTTTGGTTCATTTTTCTCACATTTGGTTTTTTATCAATAAAGCGCCAATTACAAGTTGTTCTGTAAGTTCAAATAGTTTGTTCTCGCTCAATTTTGATTTTTGTTTTTGTAAGTTAAGAATCACAATAATAAATTATTTTTCCTATTAGAGTTTATTCAACAGAGTTTTGTCAATTTACATAATTCTGAAATGCAAGGACATCTAAAGGTTCGATAGTCCTGGTCAGGTGATGCCTTAATTAAGCAGTACAGTTTCCAAGAAGTTTCTTATGTAAACTACTATCATTAGCCATACACTACAACCCCACTCTTTTAGAAAAGAAGTTCTATTATTTCTTTACTATTTGTGATGTATAAGTCGCGAAAATTATGGAAAAAAGTATTTATTTCACCATCCTTAAGATTGCTGACTGTATCAGGAAAATCTTTAAAAAAAAAATTCGAATTAATCTGAAACGTTTTTTTCTTTGAAAATCGAAATTTGAGATTTTTTCAGCAAAGTCAGTGTATTTTTTATGTTTACTTGCGTTCGCTACTCTTCAATCTTTGATTGGCTATGTTTTGATTTTTAAGAGTTCATGAACGGAGTGATTGCTTACTCGTCTTGTTCGTGTGGCTTTCGTCGTTTTTTGGAGAAAAAGTTTTCAAGTTTCATTTGCGGTTTGGTTTGACTTGGATTTTCTTTTGTGTTCAATTCAAGCTCATTTGCTAGAAAGAAGGTAAGTTACGCTCTCCAATAACGGAAGTGCAAATGATGAAATAAAGATTTTTTCTTTCGACCCAAATTAACGTTATCTGTTTATCGTGATCTATTCTCGAGGTAGCGCTGTTGCTTTTGTAACCTAAGATCTGGGTTTCGAATCCCGGCAGGAACTTATTTTTTCAACGTGGATAAAATTGAAGAAAAAACTTGGTGGGAAATATTGATGAAATTCCGGGTTTTCAATTAGCTGCTTATTTGTCGGCTTAGTTCCCATACTTGGGAGTTTTTACTGTTTTGTCCGCTGTTTTCGTCGTAGATGCGATTGTCTTGGTTTTCCTTTTCAATTTTTTTCGCCCAAAAGCTTTGCTCGGCCTAAGCGGTTTCTGTTTGTTTTATCAGCTTAATTCCGTAAATTTTTGTTGCTTCAAGCGCAAAAATTGACTGATTGTTTTCTTAGAAGTGAAGTTAGCTTCTGTAACAAGATTTTTTGTTGTTTTGACTGTTTTTCTGAAAATAATTTCACTTTTTTGCCCAAATTTAAGTTTTCTAAGTTCGTTATTTCCATGTCATTACTATTTGCTAGCTTGCAATACGAAGCTCGTGCTGCAGCAGAAGTGATGCGGAGCTCGGCTATGCCTCTGTGTAAGGACTGGAACGGAGATTATACACTGCTTAATTCAACGCTCGAAAAAATCAAATGTATAAAGCCGCTATTTTCCCGCATTATTAACGTAGAATAAGAATGTTTTTTTTTGCTTGCTTGAATACGGAAATAAATATTTTTTTACCCAAGCTAATTCTTTTTAGGTTCAGTATCTTTACGTTGAAAGGAATGCAAACTCCACTAACTCACAACGAAAGTAGTGTAATGGTCACGAAAAACGTGATCAACTTCTAGTTTCGAAAGTGGATTATAGTTTTCAGATTTCCCAGCGAAATAAAACTTTTACCTTTGGTTTATTTTTCTCAAATTGGGTTTTTTTAATCAATAAAGCGCCAATAAAAAGTTGTTCTGGAAGTTCAATTAGTTTGTTCCGGAAGTTCAATTAGTTTGTTCTGGCTCAATTTTGATTTTTGTTTTTGTAAGTTAAGAATCACAATAATAAATTATTTTCATATTAGAGATTATTCAACAGAGATTTGTCAATTTACATAATTCTGATATGCAAGGACATCTAAAGGTTCGATAGGCCTAGTCAGGTGATGCCTTAATCAAGCAGTACACTTTCCAACAAGTTTCTAATGTAAACTACTATCATTTGGCCATACCCTACAACCCCACTCTTTTAGAAAAAAAAAGTTATATAATTTCTTTACTATTTGTGATGTATAAGTCGCAAAAATTATGGAAAAAATTTTTCATTTGACCATCATTAAGATTGCTGACTGTATCAGGAAATTTTTTTTTTTTTAAATATTTGAGTGAATCTGAACAATTTTTTTCTTTGAAAATCGAAATTTGCGATTTTTTCAGCAAAGTCAGTGCATTTTTGATGTTTACTTGCGTTCGCTACTCTTCAATCTTTGATTGGCTATGTTTTGATTTTCAAGAGTTCATGAACAGAGTTATTTTTAACTCGTCTTGTTCTTGTGGCTTTCGTCTTTTTTTGGAGAAAAAGTTTCCAAGTTTCGTTTGCGGGTTGGTTTGACTTGGATTTTCTTTTGTTCAATTCAAGCTCATTTGCTAGAAAGAAGGTAAGCTACGCTCTCCAATAACGGAAGTGCAAATGATGAAATAAAGATTTTTTCTTTTGACCCAATTTCGACGTGATCTGCTTATCGTGACTTATTGAAGACAGAGCTTTGTCCTCAACTATAATTCTCCAAATTTGGTAGAAGAGAAAATATTTTCAGAAAAATTGAGTTTTGTGTCATTTTTTCAATTCTATGTTTGCTTTTTAGTGATTGAATGTCTTATTAACGTAGAATAAGAATGTTTTTTTTTGCTTGCTTGAATACGGAAATAAATATTTTTTTTACCCAAGCTAATTCTTTTTAGGTTCAGTATCTTTACGTTGAAAGGAATGCAAACTCCACTAACTCACAACGAAAGTAGTGTAATGTTCACGAAAAACGTGATCAACTTCTAGTTTCGAAAGTGGATTATAGTTTTCAGATTTCCCAGCGAAATAAAACTTACCTTTGGTTTATTTTTCTCAAATTGGGTTTTTTTAATCAATAAAGCGCCAATAAAAAGTTGTTCTGGAAGTTCAATTAGTTTGTTCTGGAAGTTTAATTAGTTTGTTCTGGCTCAATTTTGATTTTTGTTTTTGTAAGTTAAGAATCACAATAATAAATTGTTTTCATATTAGAGATTATTCAACAGAGATTTGTCAATTTACATAATTCTGATACGCAAGGACATCTAAAGGTTCGATAGG